GCATTATGCTTATATTTCCACATAGTGAGGTAGATATGTGGGGGCGTGTTAGAACGAGCCGTTTTAGGTAGGTGTGGTTGACTCTTAACTTTTATAAAGAATATCTCTTTGGATTTGAGGCTTTAGTCTTTGCAACTTTACAGATCTTCTTTATGCACCAAGAGCTTGTAACACTCCAAAGAGAAAGGAAAACTTGAAATCGCATCATATGACCCCTTTAATGACAGAATGTCTATTTTGTGTGAACTGTCCCTTTAAGGGGGATCAAACCCCACCAACTGGCGTTTATCTCTGTTCTCTGTCTATAAACTGACTGGGAGGTGATAAAGTGTAGCTTAGAAATGTACATGGTTTGGGGCAGGATGACTATACACAGATGCAATTAAAGATAATATTATAAGAGTATAGGGCATATCATGGCATAAATTTTTTTTTTAATTAACTATACATATTTTGTCCAATTTGGACGAATTACATACTACAAGAAATCGAACATATTTGTTATAAAATATTTACATAATGTAAGTTCTGAAAATGTATACTTCATAAAGATTATCGCCATTTAACGTCATTTTTGTGAGATAAAATATTTGTACGAGTTATTTATTATTTATTTATTTTTTTAATAAAATGACCTTCGTAGCATGGCGTTGGCATTTCAGAGGCGAGTGTTGTGAGCGCGCAGCGTAGCCGTTACGTCACTGAAGTCCTCCAGCTCTGGGAAGATGCTGGTGTGTGTCTGCAAATAATAAAATCATAAAGCAATACAAAGAAAAATAGGCCGCTTCCTCTCTAACAGACATCTATTGGACAGACGGTCGTTACATTTCGGATGAAACAGACCAGCCATACAAGGTAAAAAAAGATTTTTAAAAAGAAAAAAAACCCTATTGTGGTTTATAATAGGCTAAAATAGTGATGCTCGTAGATGATACGTTTGTTCAATATCTACATATATTGATATTCAAATAGCACCTCTTATTTACTGTCGCATTTGCTGGACAGCTATTACTAACAAAAGAGGAGGCAAATGTGTTAAGCCATGCAATGGTGGAGAGGAAGGACATTGAGGGTAAATCATAAAGCAATACAAAGAAAAATAGGCCGCTTCCTCTCTAACAGACATCTATTGGACAGACGGTCGTTACATATCGGATGAAACAGACCAGCCATACAAGGTAAAAAAAGATTTTTAAAAAGAAAAAAAACCCTATTGTGGTTTATAATAGGCTAAAATAGTGATGCTCGTAGATGATACGTTTATTCAATATCTACATATATTGATATTCAAATAGCACCTCTTATTTACTGTCGCATTTGCTGGACAGCTATTACTAACAAAAGAGGAGGCAAATGTGTTAAGCCATGCAATGGTGGAGAGGAAGGACATTGAGGGAGGATGCTCAGGATTGTGGCTGAGCGATTGCAGGGCTGAATTTGACGGAACATTAGGTTCATATATCCGTAATCTAAATTGTACTGATATAAGAATTGTAGTCTATGATTTTGCGCATTTGCAAGTCTTATTGACGTGGTGTGTGGGAAATGCCGACGCTTCTGGTTGGTTTGTCAGCGCTGTGAACAGCCTTCACCTAAATACAACAGCATTATTAATATCTGTTGTTTTAGAATATAAATCATCAGCTGAGTATCCCATAATAATGCTAGATTTGATGTTTGATAACCTTGGAGTGTGAGCCTACAATATAATCCCACACCTGGTCTTCGATTCACTCATTCGGTGTGTAAATGGGAGAAGCTTTATTACATTATCTAGTTTGTGAATTATTTTTGTAGGCCTATATGAGAGTAACGGTCTATAACACGAACTGGATTTCTATTGAGATATGTATACTAATATTATGAACAATAGTAATAGTAGACCTGGTGTGGAGGAAAAAAGCTTAACATTCCTGACTGAACATATAGCTTTTTTAATCTTTGCTGTTTGATGAAACCTACCTGTGTCAAATATTTACTTTATTTGCTGTCTGGAATTGGTTTTGAGGTTTTTTTGTACGTTTTAAGGGCATTTTTAAGCATGGCAAGTCTCAATATGAACAATTATATCGGTAAGTATACCTACTAAATCAAATTAGCATTACATACAAATGTAGCTGTAAATGATGCACAAGATATCATAACACAATTAACGCTATATTTGAGTATACAGTTCTCTACAGTCTACCATCCTGGTAGATTTGGACGCATTCCTAGTCTTTTGTAGAGCTGAATTTAGTGTTTTTAATCAAAAACACTTCAAAACTCACATCTGAGACAGAGAATAGCTACAGATATCTGCCAGCTACAGGTCATTTTGGTTTTTGTATAGCTACTAAACCCATCCCTAGATTGGCCCAGAATAAATATATATATGGAAATATATCAAACATCAGATATAATAAATTATATCTAAAATAACTGAATAATACCTCAAAATTTAAATGGCTGGTGCATTTTTGCCTCAAAATGGTGTAGATTCTCTTGTCATTTCTTATGTGATTATAGTATTATTTTGTGTGTTTTGTTTTTTTATATCATTTTACAGGCCACCATAGTTGCTCCATTTGACAGAAAGAGACAGAAGACCGGTCTTTGCTTGACTGATCACATTCCTTATACTTGAAATGAAAATGACCCGGCCTGTTTATTAGCACATTCCTTCACAATACATTTTCGGTGGGTTCCCTTGCTTGCACTCTAAGCCTGCCAATATGTACGGAAGTTCACGCTCTGTGAGCAAAATGGACAGTAATCACAGTGGGGGAAGAAACAACCAGGGCAACTCTGGACACTCTCCACGGCTGCCACGGTCACCCCGTATGGGTCACCGTCGCACCAACAGCATGGGGGGCAGCGGTGGAGGCCCGGGCGGCTCTGGAGGCAAGACGTTGTCCATGGAGAACATTCAATCTCTCAATGCTGCCTACGCCACGTCGGGACCGTTGTATATGAGTGACAACGAGGTCGCAATCTGCACTTCCTCTGACCTCCCTAAAAGCGGCGTAGTGACGGGACGCTTTGGAGGCAGCATTCCTTACGGGGTCCGGGCAACGGTTACAGGCAGCACACCGGACATGGCCATGGTGCCGGCGGTGTCCACTGACTCTATGGGCTTTGGAGGGGAGATCCACGCTGCGTCAACCGTTCCTCACTCACTACGTCAGGCGAGGGACAACACCATCATGGAGCTCCAAGCCCAGCTCAAGGAGGTGCTGAGGGAGAACGAGCTGCTTCAGAAGGAAATCGAGGTGAAGGAGAGCAAGCTCAGCTCCTCCATGAGCTCCATCAAAAGCTTCTGGAGCCCGGAGCTGAAGAAAGAACGTGCGCTGCGCAAAGACGAGTCATCCAAAATAACAGTGTGGAAGGAGCAGTATCGCGCTGTGCAAGATGAGACACAGGTGGGTACATCTGGCAGGATATTCTTGTTTTTTAAGTATAAGTGGACAATTAATGCTGATTGGAGAGCTGTTTTTTAGTTTCAGTGGGATTCAGGATTAATACGTGTGATTAAAGGAATCTAGTTTTAAATAGGGATCTTAGATAAGTACTAAAAGGCACTGTATATCTATAAAAGTGTACTCCTAAGTGTAAGGCCTTTTCACACCATAGAGGGCAACTATACATTTTTTATAATGGTTCTAATTGTATAAGAATATGGAAGTCCACACCACAGCTATAACGATAACGACACAGAGGAACGATAATGTTGAAACCACTTCCAGAACATTTTTTCAAGCTGGTGAACGATCAAAACATTGACATCAATCGACATCCAATCAGAATCTGACTTTAAAGAGCAGTGCATGCTTATAATAAAAATAAGGTTACAGGGCTTTGGTGTGGATGTTAATATAGTTAACGTTTTAGTTGTCTTTATGGTTATAGATCTTGGTGTGAATGGGACTATACAAATACATGAATGATGTATTTCATCAGCTAAAAAAACAAGGTCCGATTTTGTAATATACATCTATACTATTCCTGCCATATATCATGTCAATTATATATGTCTGAATTTGTAACATACGACTATGCTACTCTTACTGTTCTTGCCATATGCCATATATACAGTACTAGGGCAGAAATGGTAAGATTAATATGATAGTATGCTATTGTGAATACAATGAGAGTGTGAAACGTTGAGGAGCTAGACATGTTAAAGATAGCGACAACACAACCTCAGTACAGTTATTGTTAACTACAACTAAAACTATTTAAAATAATTTAATTAAACAAATAAAATATTTTTTAATTATTTAATTTAATAAAATACTTAAAATATAGTTGAAATAAAATATACACATTAGTATATGCAAATATTCATATTAGATAAGAAATTTAGACTTAAATGAAAACTTTGTTTAAACGAAACAAAAACTGAAAATGAGAAATGTTGCCTTGGTAAGAAACTAAAATAAATGGTTGAAGTAGTAAAATTACTAAAACTGAAATAAAGCTATAAAAATTTTTTTTTTAATGCTAAAAATAAAAAAAAAGATTAAAAAAACCGACAAAGCACATAATAAAATGACTAAAGTTTAAATAAAATTTAAAAACTGAAAAATGAAAATCTAAAAATAAAAGCATATATATATATAAGCTTTATTATATGTGTACCTAAATAACATTTCTTTTGAATCGAAACATTCTAACACTTTTGTATAGTAAAAAAGCTAAATGCTTATATATTAAATACTTATATATAGTACAGTAGATGACAGAGAACGTAATATATAGTGTACCGTAATACATTTTGGACACAACTTATTCAACTTCGCACATTCGTAGAAGCTTGACCTGGGCTGTGTTTGGAACAGACACTACTACACTACTCATACTATTTCTGCTGTGATAAAAATATGCATACAATACACATATTGTCCATAGTATGCATGTTTTTGTATTGTATGCATAGAAACCCTACATTTGTCAAAATACGAATTATACAGAGCATACTGTGTTGGGTAGTGTAATATCTGTGAAATGACAAATATTTTTCATCTTTTTGATAATTATTCAAGATTTAAAAAACTGGAGATGACAACTTGACATTTGTATATTGTCATGGATAATGTTTTACATACTATTTGTTTTAATAGTAAGAAGTATACAGTATAAACTGCACAGTATTCAGTAATCAATACAATAATATTTAATTCCGATCCTGAAATGCATGTGTCAGGTAGAACTAACCATCCAGGCCAGCTTAAACTAGCTAAAACCTGCAAACCATCTTAGGTTGGGTACTGCTAACTATTTATAGACAAAGATGATATAATCATCACATTTTCACTGCATCAATGCATTTTCATAGATTTATAGGAGTGAGAATTGCGTGATTAAAGATCCAGCTCATCTTCAGACGAGAAGGCGAAGTCTACCTCCGCTGTGAGGTGACGCTAATGGCCAATCCTGAAATGGACATCCATGTCCTGCTGCGTGCGGCTCACTGCTGAGTTGACTGCCTGAATTCCTGCAAGCCACAATATGTTCAATGTGCAATGCGTGAGCTAATTAAGGATGAAAGTCTGTTTCCTGATATTCAGTGGTTCTTTTAAATGTACTTTGAGATACTGGGACGAGTTTTGATAGCAGTGACAGTGGCGTAGTCCTCAATTTATGCTGCGTTTAAAACAGGCCCTTTATTTGAATGATTAACTTCAAACTGTGATTCACTGCAACATGGCTGTCATGACAGATTTCCAGACGAAGGGGTGTACAGCACTAAGCTAATGACGGCTTGGTTATTCACTCTAAGCATAATCAGCATCATCACGCTCCTCACACCGTTCGCTCGAGATTGAAATTAACACGCGAATCATCAGAGAGCTCGGATTCTGGATGTGTTATTTGGTGATTCTTGGCAAGTAGTTTTGTGCCTGTTGGGCTTAATGGGACCTTACCATTAATTATGGCACAGTTGTGTATGTGTGTGTATGATTAAGAAAATGTATAATTACCGTTGTTCCATCGCCTTTTGGCTGCCATCAAGTTTGCAGCATAGTAGTCACATTTGAATGGATGAAAGTTTATACCTTAGTACATGTTTATTTCAGTTTCCTTGCTAACTTTACAACTGGTGTTGAGGACAAGTGTGTGTGATGGATTGTACATAAGCAGTTTCTTACAGGCACAAAATGAAAATTAGGTAATTTCTTATTCACTTTTGTTGTTGGAAACCTAAACGCAAAAGGAAAAGTTTGAAGAACTGTACTGGTCGCTCTTTAGATGGTCAGTAATTTGGGATTGAGGGTTTTAATCTTAAAAATTATTCCAGTATTCCAAGTGTATCTTGAAAATATTTATTCTAAAGCCACATGATTGCTTTATGTAAGAAATAAATTGGCATTTAAGCTGTTATTCACTGAAATTCAACTCTAGATCCCCTTGACGAGAGTTCATTAGAGGAATAGTGATGCCTGATATGTGAATGAATCATTCTTTTGAGTCAGATCTTTTCAGTTAATCACATGATCCAGTTCATAAAACCTTAAAGGGATAGTTCACCCAAAAATGAAAATTCTGTCATTAATTACTCACCCTCATGTCGTTCCAAACCCGTAAGACCTTCGTTCATCTTCAGAACACAAATTAAGATATTTTTGATGAAATCCGAGAGCTTTCTGACTCTGCATAGACAGCAACGCAACTGACACGTTCAAGGCCCAGAAAGGTAGTAAGGACATTGATAAAATAGTCCATGTGACTATTTAGTAGCTCAACTACTTAGTGGTTCAACCGTAATGTTATGAAGCTACAAGAGTACTTTTTGTGCGCAAAGAAAACAAAAATAATGACTTTATTCAACAATTTCTTCTCTTCCGTGTCAGTCTCTGTCACGCATTCACGAGAGTACAAATGAGATGTTTACATGATAACTCTTCTCAGTACTTACTCGTATTACTGCTTCTATGAAAGATGATGCTGTAGATTGAACTGTATTCACTGATGAATAAAGAGAAGCTTTCTTTGAGATGCCATTATAAATAATAGGATAACAGCTGATAAATCATGGGAAACGTCTTGGCTGTTAACCCTCCCTTATATCTGTTCCAAAATCTACCAACAGACATTGTCACTGGATAATGAACTACTGCTGTTTTAAATATTTTTTGAAAGAATTGTGAGTAAATATTGCATATTACTCTCCTCTATCCATCATAGCACCTGCAGACAACTGTGCAGGCGCTACAGGCCGAGCTGCGTATCCAGCGCGACTTGAACCAGCTACTCCAGCCCCCCGGGGAGCCACTGGCCTGCGAGCCCAGCGAGGAGCAGGAGCGGCAGGCTCGAGAGGCGTTCTTGCTCCGCCGTACCCTGGAGGAGATGGAGGTTCGCCTGGAGACCCAGCGGCAGACGCTAGTTGCTCGCGATGAGTCAGTCAAAAAGCTCCTGGAGATGTTGCACAGCAAGGGACCCTCCACTAAAGCCAGTGAAGAGGATCATGAGCGCACACGTCGCCTTGCAGATGCCGAGATGCACGCGCACCACCTGGAGAACCTTCTAGAACAGCGTGATAAAGAGCTAGCCGCTTTGAGAGAGGTATGTGCTAGTTAAAAATTTAATTAAAAAAATATGAAAATGATTTAATATGCTAAAAACAGTGTTACATATGGCACAATATACAAATAGGGTAAAATATAAATGAATATAAATAGGGTAATAATATACATAAATAGGGTAATACTTTAAAAATGTAAATAGGCAAATATATCTCAATTATATAAAAATAAATAAATAAAAAACAATACCAAAATCTTAATGTTTAGCTGTTTTTTCCCATTTCCCATATTCCTTGAAAATTACAATATTTAAAATTAACATACAGAAAACATATATTCTATTTCTTAGATTATACACAAATTGTGTTTGTCTGCATTCATCAAGCTCAACCTTTCAACTGTTACCCAAGTTATTGTCAGAAAAATTCTAATATATACAGTATATGTATATATATATATTTTTTCATTCAATACCCACTCTAGTATAGTATTTTTATAAATTTTTTGGTTTTAGAAAATAAGTGTTTTTTAATATTTATATAATATTTATTGCTATAAAACAAAACTTTTTTTTGTATTTTGACATAATACAGTTTGAATAACATTTACTGAAATGACAAACCTCATATAAAATGAATAGCACACACAACAGCTCATTCAATATTTAGTACAACTTCCTGAGGATGAGAACCAACATTTTCTAAATGTTAAGCACCTTCGTTCACTGAACATTTACTAAAAAAAAGAAATAAAAAAGGCATTTTTAAAAAAGTTGAGTGCCATATACAATCAACTAACTGCAGTGAATTAAAGCAGACAGACTATTCTCTCTTCGTGCTCCATTATACCACATTCAGTTACACAATGACCACAGCTATTCTCCTCAAAGTGCAAAAAAGAAGGATACTTAATTGAACTAGATAGCAGGAAACCCTATTTGTACCTATAATAGAGTACAGCTCCTGCAATGTGATAGAGAATTCAGCCAAAACTAAACAGCGCTGCTCTCCCTCAAGGTATGATGAAATATCTGAGAGCTCTATTTCTGGCACTGGTGTGAAGGAAGTGCCAACCATGTGTCTTTAATTCCAGGAGCTGCATCGCCGCCTCGAGGGGACGCCAGAGACTACGAAAACCAAAGCTCTTCAGACTGTAATTGAGATGAAGGTAGTACTTTAGCTCCGATTTTAATTAATGTGGCTGTTTACATATGATGACAGCAACCACATTAATGCTTTGTCTATCAGTGGATTAAAAACATTTACAAATACACTTTTCATACTGTTTGATATTTTACACGATATTAAAGTGCAAACGGACAAATGTAAAAATGTATTAGTTTAAATTTATATTAATCCAATTAGCTGAACTTCAAAGTGCTTTTTCCCCCACTTAGGTAGGAATTAAGTACATCTTTATATTTAATTTCATAATTACAAATATGGTTAAAGTGAAATATTGTTAAGATGTACTGCCGAATGTACTGACAAATAGTAGTTTCTATTAAAACTTGTATATTGTGTATTATAATATATTTGTAATTACACATTTGCAATGGCAAAGTTGAAAATTAAGTACATTTAAAATATATTAACTTTAAATGTAAAATCAAATTACATTACAGTTAAGATTATAATCAAGTACTTTACATATGTACTCATAATAAAGTACTTTAGTATGTATCAAAATAAGTGCATAAGAATATAGCCACATGGGCTCAGGAGTACTTCAGAAAACCGCTGTCATTTACCACAGTCTGCTTCTGCATCAAGAAATGCAACTTGAATATATGTTACTCTAGGCGAAAGCTATACATTAATTCTATGCAGCAATGCTGCCGGGTTCTCTGGGCCAGAGCTCATCTCAGATTGTCAAAAAAGGTGTGCTGTACTCAGATGAGTCCACATTTCGACTTGTTTCCTGGAAAAATGGATTTCGACTTCACAGTCCCAAAGACCATAGGGACCATCCAGACTTTCATTAGTGACAGAAGCAAAAGCAAACGTCTCTCATGGTATTTGGGTGTAGCAGAGCAAACAGCATGGGTAACTGGCATATGTGCGAAGGTTCTATTGACATGGAGGCATATATTGGAATTGTACAGAGAAATATACTGCCGTCAAAATGACGTCTTTCATGGGAAGTCCATGGTTATTAGATCAAGACAATGCCAGCTCTCATTCTGCAAGTGCTACAACAGCGTGGTTTCGTAGATTATTAACATTTTAAAGTGAATTTTCATTTGTATTATTATTCTATGTTTAAGTTTGAACATCCATCCTTTGGTAAGAGTAGTAGTCACAATTTTAAAATGTAGCCGCCTTATTTGGGGGATATCAAATTCATAAATTAGTTTCCACAAAGAACCCAATTGTTCACTTTTAAGATGTTACTGTTGTGATTAGTAATTAATTGGTTATTCTTTATTAACTGGTCATAGTTCACAAGTAGTTCTCAATGAGGATATTTTTATTTAATAATTATCAAATATCTAATAAGGAACTACCTTTGTCCTAAATTTGCTACTACTTACTGCTTAGTTAATCTTGCTTCTCTATTAGTTAATAGTATTAAGTTAAGTGTTAATGTAGTACTACCTATAACTTCCTGCATAGTTACTTGTTAACAACGGACCATTATTCTAAAGTGTTACCAAAATTTGTTCATATTTACAAAATGCATTTACGTTGGTCAGTGAAAAACCTTGGAAATCTTTTCTTTGTACTTTTGTCAATTAAATAAAAGTTAAAGAGAATGAATTTATTGCATTTTACAAAATGTCCCAACTTCTCTGGAATTGGGGTTGTAAATGATGACAGAATTTTTATTTTTGGGTGAACTGTCCCTTTAAGGCAGGGTGTTCATGTTTCATATAATGAAAGTAAATGGTAACCAAAAATGGCACAACAGAAAAGTAGCATTAAGTTACATGTTCAGATTCAGCACATTATTGGTTAACTTAATAGACACCAATGATGTCTTGACATCATATTTTTGCATCTCTCAGGATTCTCAGATCAGTTCTCTAGAGCGGGGCCTCAGAGAGCTGGAGGACCAGGTCATGATGCTTCGCTCCAGTAGCATGCTTAGCTGTGAGGAACGGCAGGAAGAGGCCAAGCAGATGGAGGTCTACCGCAACCACACCAAGTTCATGAAGAACAAGGTACTGCTCAGCCTGCTTTAGAAGAACACATCCAGATTAGTCTCACATATGAATAACAAACCTTGAATAATTCTGTTATGTAGATGGACCAAGTTAAGCAAGACCTTTCCAGGAAGGACACCCAGCTCCTTGGATTGCAGACTAAGCTGGAGACCCTGACTAACCAGTTCTCTGACAGCAAACAGCATATTGAAGTGCTTAAAGAGTCTCTGACTGCCAAAGAACAACGTGCTGCTATTCTACAGACAGAGGTAGTAGATCAGGCCAGTGATTGGTCTTTACCCATCACACCAGCAGATTCTCTGAGCATGGCATACAACTCTTTTTGCAGGTGGATGCTCTGAGGTTGCGTCTGGAGGAGAAGGAGACCATGTTAAACAAAAAGAGTAAGCAAATCCAGGAAATGTCTGAAGAAAAGAGCACACTCAATGGAGAAATCCATGATCTGAAGGACATGCTGGATGTCAAGGAGCGTAAAGTCAATGTACTTCAGAAAAAAGTGAGGACTGGATTTAACCAAATACATACTTTTTTAAAAATTGTACTTTTCATTACAGGAAACTGTTAAAAACAATGAACAAGATGTTCTCTTAATACACATGTCAGAAATGAGTCACCAATCCACTATTCTTAAAAAATACACAGTCATGCATGAAATCATACATTAAAAAATACATCTACGATAACCTAATGAGTAATTAATACTGTTAAACTAATGATAAAGATGTAAATCTGAAACAGATTTAAAGATAACACAACAATGATCAAAAAATTAAATAAATATAAATATAAAAATAAAATAAATAAAATAAAAATAATAAATCAAACTTTAATAAAATAGAGAAAAATAAGGTAAAATAAAAATGATAAAAATACAATAATAATAATAATATAACATACAATACTACTACTACTAATAGGATTAATGGTACTACTACTTTATTACTGCTAATAATGATAATAATAATAATGAAACATAAAGAAAAATAAATAAATGACTTACCCAGCTTATTCATTTACATGTTCCCTATATAAACTTTAAGCATTAACAAAGAACAAAACTTTAGAGTAAAAAGAGTTAAAATTGGATGTTCGCCAATACATAGATTTAACAATAATTTCTATAAAAAATATCACAGTTACTACAGTTACTGTTACTGTAAAAACATAATATTAGGATTTATTATAAATTGATTAATGGTATTTTAGCAGAAACAAATGATCTCCATTGTGTGGAATACATTTTAATATGAGCACATACAAAAATAATTTTTTTTTATACTGAAATGCTAGTTTAAAATTAAGGTAACACTTTAGTATAGGGACCAATTCTCACTATTAACTAGTTGCTTATTAACATGCCTATTGGCTGTTTATTAGTACTTATAAAGCACATATTCTGCATGACCATATTAACTAATAATAAGCAGCAAATTAGGAGTTTATTGAGGCAAAAGTCATAGTTACTGGTTTGTTAGTAGTGAGAATTGGACCTTAAATTAAAGTACAGTATGACCAAAATTAATTTTGTCAAGATGATCCAGGTCTAAAAATATGTATCATGTATATTGGTGAATTGCCAAAGTATAAAACTATTTTTTTTTGTTGGCTAAAGAAGAGCAATTAATTACTAATCTTTATTATGAAGTATTTTGAATCATTATTATAAAGTATTTTCTAAAATGGTGGGGAAAAGTGCATCAGATGCTTTGGGGTAAGCTGTGCTTTTCCTTCGAATGCAGGAAATATTATAAAAAATTGTCTTAGAAAATGATGAAGAAGATTCACTACATTAAAAGTTTGGATGTTTATAAAAATGCCAATTCACATCAATCTTACATCAACTCCTGTGTCTCAGATTGAAAACCTGCAGGAACAGCTGAGGGATAAAGAGAAGCAGATGAGCAGCCTTAGAGAGAGGGTGAAGTCCCTACAGACAGACACGTCTAATACAGACACGGCCCTCACTACACTGGAGGACTCACTGGCCGAGAAGGTGAGGATCACCTCTAGAGGACGCTATAACACACCACCGGACTACAGGACAAATCACTGGTGCTCTTCCAAATGGCATCAGCATGGTCGTAGACTGGAGTCGAAACATCTGCGCTTAGTTATAAACATTTCATGCTCCTTGTATATGCTTTCTTTTTGGCACCATGTTAATGTGTCCCCTTGTAAACAGGAACGTATTATTGAGCGCCTGAAGGAGCAACGTGACCGCGAGGAGCGAGAGAAGGCAGAGGAGCTGGACAGCAGTAAAAAAGAGCTGAGGGAGTTAAAGGAGAAAGTCAGCATGCTGCAGGGAGACCTGTCAGACCGAGAGGTTAGAGATCACCAAACAGTCCTGAAAGATGAGTGGAAACACCATTAAAAACACATAACAAGATTATGAAAACATTTTCAGCTGTAGAACAACGTGCAGCTATGAACTGTGCAAAATACACTACACAAAACATTGTATTTTTGTCTTTTGTTGGGTAATGATATTAATTTATATTAAAAAATATATAAAAATAAAAAAGACCAACTTACTATATTAAAACTTTACAGCAATTAACTATATCAAAACTTAACAGAGAATATATATTGGGTTTATTTTTCATACCCCATTGGCAATTTTTTTTTGCATAAATCTAACCAGGTTTATGCTTAAAATAGAAAAATATTATTGGCCAATGTATTTGAGATAAATAAACTCAATTCAAAATATATTCTCTGAAAACAAGTTCTTGTGGAATTTTTATTCCCTAAAATATTATAATATTATATATATATATAAATATTATATATCCCTAATATTAAACATATATCAAATTCAGATATTTTCAAGATAGTCACAATTTTGCATTTCAAGTTCATTTATATTGGAGTGTTAAGTTTATTTATAGTTTTTATTACATTTATTTAATATGTTGACTTTTTTAGATTTTTATATTTTAGTAAAATTTTTAGTAGTTTTGTTATGTGGTTTTGTCAACAAAAAAAATTTTTATATTGCTATTTATTTTGTTTAATTTATTTCCATTAGTAAGTTTAGTGCTTCAAATTAAACATATTTCTGTTAGCTGCCAAGGTAACAATTCTCGTTTAGTTTAAGTTTTTCATCTAATATTTATATTTCAATATTTATATTTCAATATAAAAATGTTTTTGATAGTTAACAGTTAACAGTAATAACCCTGCTAAGTTAAGGATATTTTGATTTTTTACTGGAACACTACTGATTAAAGGGGTTATATGATGCGATTTAAATTTTTCCTTTCTCTTTGGTTTGACATTTATTACGAAAAGGTTTTGATGTCTCTAATATGAGGAAAAAAATACTTTGGAGTCATTATTCACACAAGCTAGTCAAGTTCAAAACATGATTTTAGGCAGATATCCTATGTGACAGGTTGGTTGAGTGCCTGTCTAAACAGATAAAGCGTGATGCCGTGAGCTTCTAAAGGTACATGTATGCTAGAAGTGTTTGATGGCTCTATACCCGGGACCTCAATGCTGAGTTTGGTTTCAGACTTCCCTGCTGGACCTCAAAGAGCATGCGTCGTCGCTGGCCTCATCTAGCCTGAAGAAAGACTCCAAATTGAAAAGCCTAGAGATCGCCCTTGAGCAGAGGAGGGAGGAATGCATTAAACTTGAGAACCAACTAAAGAAGGTGAGCGAGAGTGTATTTATTCAAAAGATTGGTACCTTATAGAATTCTAACCAGCAATCTACCATGATTTCTAAAAAAAACTGTAAAGGCTGAAGAAATTAATTGGTAAAAAAATATGGGAACCCAATGCATAGTATAAGTATGCAAACTGGGATGTAGCTATTACAAACTACAAATGGGAGCGTAAGAATGGCTATATGTGAGTTTGTGTATGTTTGTGGGTGTATTTATATCATGGTGATCTATTAGACCCAGAGTGCTGCAGCCAATGCACAGGCCAACGCAGAGATATCTGAAAGGATTTCTTCACTTGAAGCTGATGTGGCCAGACACCGAGAAGACTCCGCCAAAGCCCAGGCTGAAGTTGATCGTCTATTGGACATCCTGCGTCAGATGGAGAACGAGAAGAACGACAAAGACAGAAAAATCAGTGAGCTGGAGAGGTCAGTCTGTTTCCCTGATCGGCTTGATTTAGTGTCCCCTCTTTCTTTTTTTTAAATGTGATTATTTGTCACATTGGAGAAGCAGTACAAACGTGTTACGTCTTTATCTCTTTTTTGCTGCCATGATTAAGCATCGACCGTCAAAACGTTTTCAGTGTCTGCGTTTGGCGAGGTTGATGTTTTGACTGGGCTTTTTTCCCTCCCCTTTGAGTTTTGCGTTGAAGCACTGATCACGTGTGTTTTTTTCTCACGCTGTGTGGCCATTGAACTTCTGCTTTGTCTCCCTCTTTTTCACCTGGAAATGTGTACCTAGTGTGACTTCCAGGTTAGTAAATACATGTACTTCCACACACATAAATGGAGTCCTCAAGAACTAGAGCAAAATCTGTTAAAGACCCCATGAAATCAAAGTTTTGTAGTTTTAAACTAGTGTATACTTAAATTTTGAAAAGACCTAAAAGTTAAAAAGAGAAAAATAACTTTTTAAAGACGTGCATTTAAAATATACAGTATTTCTCTTCCAGGAAAACTGGTAAAAAATATTAATGACACATCTTGAAATAGATAATTTTTCTGGGGATGCACCAATATAAAAATTCTGGCCAATAATTATTTTTTATCTTATGACTTATAAACGATATATTTTACACTATTTTTTCAAAATAAAGTAAAACGCTAAAAAAATTAAAATAAATAATTTTAAATGCTACATGTGAATTTAGGCATCTCAACAATATAATGTACAATATGAGAAATTGCAATTCATTTTGAGATTTGGTCAAGATTACACTTAACAGTGTTACTAAAATATTAGTGTTTGTTAAAGATTAACTTTAAATTAGTTTTAGATGACAGCAAAAGTTGTTTAAATATAAAAATAGGAACAATGAGCATGACAATTATTTAAATTAATATTAATATTAGAAATGTATATAATTATATAATACAATAAAATTACATATCTGATACCAGATCAATTTAAAAGTCTTTTTAAACAATATTATTGTGCATCCATTTTGTCTAAACACAAGCTCTCTAGAATAAGATTGTCCCACCCCTAATCCCACCTGACACTGTCTTGAAAGTTCATGGATGACAAAGTTTTTGCCTATTAACAAAATAAATAAATAAACACAAAAACAAGCCCTTTCGTTATGTCCCTCAGAAAACTGCTTTCGTCAGTCGATTTCATGGGGTTTTAAGTGAAAAAAAAGCAAGGGAATGTATTTTGTTCCTCTGTATAATCCGTTTTAGCTTTATGACTAGCACAAGGAAGTTATTATTTATGTGATCAGGCTTAGTGATATTTATTAACCAATAATAATACCAGCTCTTTTTCCAGCTATTAAATAGTCCCCTCCACCCCAAATCTCTTAAATTCTTTATTTTACTATTAAACCCCAGAGAGTTCCTCTCACAAGCGCCCTTCATGTTTATGTTTCAGGCAAATGAAAGAGCAGAGTAAGAAGTCCTCTGGCAAACACAAGGAGCTGTCAGGGAAGGGCAGAAATGTCAACGATGGCCCACAGCAGGTGAGACGTACAGAGCGATAGTTATGACAGCTTTGTCATAAGCTCCTCTGTTCTGACAGATCGCTGTATATTTAAACATTGTCAAACTGTGCTGGTGTGCATATGATGAGCTGGGCCCCGTCTACCTCAGGAGTCCCTGCGGCAGAAGGCAGAGCGTATCGAGGAGCTGGAGGAGGCTCTCAGAGAGAGCGTTCAAATCACTGCCGAGAGGGAGATGGTGCTGGCGCAGGAGGAGGCCGCACGAACCCACCAGGAGAAACAGGTCAATACTACAAGACTTACTATTTCAGAATCGACTAGTGACTCCTTAACTATTTGATGCATCTCCAAAAACTACACTGAACAAAATTATAAATGCAACAATTTTTGCCCCCATTTTTCATGAGCTGAACTCAAAGATCTAAGACTTTTTCTATGTACACAAAAGGCCTATTTCTATCAAATATTGTTCACGAATCTGTCTAAATCTGTGTTAGTGAGCACTTCTCCTTGGGCAACAGCTCTGGTGGACATTCCTGCAGTCAGCATGCCAATTGCACACAGTGATAAAACTGCATATTTTAGAGTGGCCTTTTATTGTGGCCAGCCTAAGTCACACCTGTGCAGTAATCATGTTGTCTAATCAGCATCTTGATATGCCACACCTGTGAGGTGGATGGATTATCTCGGCAAAGGAGAAGTGCTCACTAACACAGATTTAGACAGATTTGTGAACAATATTTGAGAGAAATAGGCCTTTTGTGTACATAGAAAAAGTCTTAGATCTTTGAGTTCAGCTCATGACAAATGGGGGCAAAAACAAAAGTGTTGCGTTTATAATTTTGTTCAGTGTATGAAATGCCACCCTAACGTTCTTGACACAAGATGCTCAAAATAAGAGTGAGTTGTGATGCAGCTGTCAAAGACGTCTGTCTCTATGTTGATGTGGCGATAGTGCTTTTAAGGGGATGAATTTAAAGACACAACTTCTTAGAGAGTGCTGGTTTTCAACCTGGGGGCCTCAGCTAACTTCCAAGATGATTTAATGGAATTTAAGATAAGATAAGCATTAAAATAAACCAAAACCATTAAAAATCAAGTTTTTTTTTCTTTAAAGAACCATGATATCCACGGTCTTGAAACTGCCAAATTTTAGTAAAGTGTGATTTCCAGACCTAGAAAAGTCAAAAATAATTACAATAATTTAATGAAATCTTAAAACTCAATGGGCATTTTTATAATGATTTTCTTCTTTGGGGGTGGTGGTAAAAGTCCACTTAATAGGAAACTGCAAAAGCCATGGGGTCTTCAAATATTGTTGTGGACAATGGGAGGGCCTTGGAGTCGAAAAAAGTTGACAACCACTGAGCTAGCATGCTAATCAAAGCACCACCACTAAAATATCAAGACTAGAAAAATAAAAGTGGTAAGGTAAGTTGGTCAAGCTGGATTTTGGAACATGGTAGTCAGTTTCTTCTTGGTCCAAGGTAGTCTACCAGGACTAATCAACTTGAACAAGATGTTCAACCAGGTTGAACTCTGCACCTAGCTGATGGACAATCTAGATCAGCTTGGACCAGCTAGAAACCATTTAATACCATCAGAAGCCAATCATGCCTGAATTTTCCAGTAGAAAATGATTGATTTCTGACTGATTTCTTATCAAAATGTTTAGAATCATGGCACCTGTAGTAAGCAAAGTCAGTGTTTAAAGGGGCCATGAACTGCTTTTTTTATTTTGTACTGTTCTCTAAGGTCCACTTATAATGTTATCAAGATTTTTACATCAAAAGACATAGTTTAGAAGTAATAAGCTATTTTCTGTTCTGTTTTTAACCCCCCCTCATCTGAACGCTCTGTTTGAATTGATTTGCCAATCTATGATTGGCTAACAGTTGTGTATGTTTGACAGCCTACATACTGTACATCACAGTTGGACACAGCTGTGATTTAGGTTAAAACGCATAAATACATATCAAATGATCTGTAGTAACAGACAAAGCAATAGTGACCACGTAATAAAAACAGTTATTCGCACTTGGATCCAATATAGCTGGCACAGCATCATCTTTTAGTTTCAATCTTTCTGAAAATCCCACGTGAATTGTGCCTTGTTTGTAAACGAATCTGCAGTAAAATGAAGTGAACAAAGGACCGAGACCAGGACTAATCAACTTGAACAAGATGTTCAACCAGGTTGAACTCTGCACCTAGCTGATGGACAATCTAGATCAGCTTGGACCAGCTAGAAACCATTTAATACCATCAGAAGCCAATCATGCCTGAATTTTCCAGTAGAGATTAGCTGATTTCTTATCAAAATGTTTAGAATCATGGCACCTGTAGTAAGCAAAGTCAGTGTTTAAAGGGGCCATGAACTGCTTTTTTTATTTTGTACTGTTCTCTAAGGTCCACTTATAATGTTATCAAGATTTTTACATCAAAAGACATAGTTTAGAAGTAATAAGCTATTTTCTGTTCTGTTTTTAACCCCCCCTCATCTGAACGCTCTGTTTGAATTGATTTGCCAATCTATGATTGGCTAACAGTTGTGTATGTTTGACAGCCTACATACTGTACATCACAGTTGGACACAGCTGTGATTTAGGTTAAAACGCATAAATACATATCAAATGATCTGTAGTAACAGACAAAGCAATAGTGACCACGTAATAAAAACAGTTATTCGCACTTGGATCCAATATAGCTGGCACAGCATCATCTTTTAGTTTCAATCTTTCTGAAAATCCCACGTGAATTGTGCCTTGTTTGTAAACGAATCTGCAGTAAAATGAAGTGAACAAAGGACCGAGTTCTTACTGACGTGGTCTGGCACTTCATTAAAAATAAAGTTCATCAAATGCCTCTCTTGTCATTTACCTACTATGTGCGAATTGGTGGGCAGGGCTAAACGGGCAGTGATGTAGAAGCAGGCGACACTATTACATCATAGAGTGACATATTCCACAACCTGTCATTTTGGCAGATTGGCTTCAGTGTAAGCTGTTTTTAGACTAACGAGAAAGTTTTGAGTTCTATTTTTATAGCACAGTGACCTTTTATATATCAAAAGATCAAGGGAATTTAGATTTCTCAGTTCATGACCCCTTTAATGCTTTTTGCAAAAAATACTTAACAGATAACTGATCATGATGTGTTAGAGCAGGTCATATGGTATTTTAAAGTGTCCTAATATTGTGTTGGAGTCCCTTACAACAGGTTTAAATGCATCTAAGGTCAGAAAACATTGTAAGTTTCTCAGAATATACATTTAATATTAGAGTCATTTGCCAATGATTTCGAAACGATTTGTTCCAAACAAGTTCGGAGCAAACCCCGCCCTTCCGTAAGCCTACTCTGCTCTGATTGGTCAGCAGGCCAAGCCTGTTGTGATAGGCACAGAGAGGAGTCCTTGAGCAAGTTAGCGAGCGCTACCATTGACAAAGCACCTTTACATAAAACAATAATATAGTGCTCTGATCCATTCTTATATTAATGACATAAAATACAAAAACACTTATGCAAGCGAATCGTGCCCACAGCTAAAGTTTAGCTGCTAAACTGTAAACACATAAC